AGCCAATAGCTAGGGAGGAGAAAGGATAGACAAGCTGGCGGACAGAGGGAATAAGTAGGAGGATAAATCTAGGCTCAAGAGAAGGAAGAATCAGGGGAAAAGAAAGGGAGATGCCAGGGGCTAGGCAGTAAGGCAGCCACCAATCAAACAGACACACAGTAGAGCACACAGAATGAAAGGTAAAAAGCTCCAAGGCAAAACAGATGAAGAGAAACAGTTTAATTTAAATTATAAGAGCTAGTGGGACAAGCATAAACTAAGGCTGAGCATTCATAACTAGTAATAAATCTCCATGTCATGATTTGGGAGCTGTTTGATAGCCCAGAAGAAAGCCTGGTATGGATAACCATGCTACAAACCACAGACCCAGAGAGATTAAGTAACAAAGATGTCTCAAAGGGGGACACATGGATTTCTCTGGGAAGGGGAAATAGAAGAGATCTCGTGGGTAGACGGGGGGGTGAGTGGGAGTGGGAGCTTGAGGGATCAGGTTGAAGGATGGATGGAGGAGGAAAATAATGAAAAGAGATGTCTTGATAGGGGGCACATTTTGGAGTCAGTTAGAAACCTAATGCAAAGGAAACTCCATGAATCTTCAAGGATGACCCCAGCTAAGACATGTAGCAATAGTGGATAGGTAGCTTGAATTGACCATCTCCTGTAATCAGATTGGTAACTACACCAAATGTCATTGGATAACTCTCATACAGTAACTGAGGGAAACACATGCAGAGATCCACAGCCAAGCACTGGACCAAGCCCAGGGAATCCTGTTGAGGAGAGGAAGGAAGGATTGTACAAACTGGGGGTGGGGTTTAATCACAAGAGAACCCATGGAAGCAACTGGACTGTTAATGGGAGCACACAGAAGTATGGACTGACAGCTAGGGAGCCCACATTAGAATGGCCTAGGCCCTCTGCATATGTATGATGGCTTTGTGGCTTGGTCTAATTGTGGGACTCCTAGTGGTAGAAACAGGGCCTGTCCCTAACGCTTTGGCTGGCATTTGGGAACCTGTTCCTAATGCTGGGTTGCCTTGCCCTGTATTAATACAAGGAGAGTGTGGTGATATATTGTGTACCCTAATAAACTTATCTGGGGATCAGAGGACAGAGCCAACCACTAGATTAGACATAGAGGTTAGGCAGTGGTGGCACACACCCTTAATCCTATCACTTGGGAGGCAGAGATCCTCTGGATCTCTGTGAGTTCAAGACCACACTGGAAACAGAGCCAGGCAGTGGTGGCACACACCTTTAATCCCAGTACTGGGAAGCACACATGCCTTTAATCCCAGGAAGTGATGGCTGGGCAGAGAAAGGTATATAAGGCCTGAGGAAACAGGAACTCACTCTCTTTAGACTGAGAGTTTCATAGAGGTAAGTCAGTTGCTAAAGCAGTTCAGCTGAGACCCTCAGGGGTGAGGACCCAGAGGCTTTCAGTCTGAAGAAGCAAGAGCAGCTGAGGAGTTGGCGAGGTGAGGTTGGCTGTGGCTTGTTCTGCTTCTCTGATCTTTCAGATTTCACCACAGTATCTAGTTTTGTTGTTTTTTTTTTAATTAATAAAACTGTTTAGCAAGTCGTGTTACAGGAGAGGAACTCAGACTACCTCAAATTGATATGCCATGCTTTGTTGGCACCCATGAAAGGCCTGCTCCTTTCTGAACAGAAGTAGAACAGGGGTGGATTGAGGAGGGTGGGGGGCAAACAGGGGGTGGGGAAAGGGAAGCGGAAGCTGATGTCTCCATGTGAAATAAATGAATAAATTTAATTTAAAAAAGATTTAGGACCAATTAAAAAAGGAAGTTATATGCAATTATAATCTCAGAGTAAAAGTCATAATTGAAAAATGTTAGGTTCTAATATAAGGAATGGAAGAATTTGTAAAGCACCTATCTTCTCTTTCAGTGACTATTTACTATCCTTTTTATCTCTTTATCCTCTCTACATAATATTTTTCTCTTTGTCAACTCCACATAATAAAACTGATAATTTCATGTTTGTCAGAGGTGAGATTAAAAGAATGTAAGACTGGCATTATTAGATTATGACCTCAGCTATATGGATGTAAGTATTAAAGCAGTGAGTGAGAGTTTTTGTTGGTATATTTCACAGCTAGACCCCCCTCTCATTTTCAGAATTAAAGCTAAATACATGAGACTAGGTAAGATCAATGGATGCCATGGTGTTTTATAGATGAACTAAAATTTTGGTCATAGACTAGAAATATATCAGAAAATATTTCAAAGATCTGTTTGTGACTAAGAAGAAAAGTTCAGGGAAGATTTCAAAAATCACAAATTATTCCAACTGAGAGGTATGAAGTCAGATCTTCTTCACCTATATCCAGGTCAGAAATATTTAAGTTGCTATTCTGCTACCACTTTGATGTTGTGCTTATACAAATCTTACCATGATTTTCTAGAATTGATTTGATTGAGAAGTTGAGAAGAGAAACAGAAAATCATGAACCTACCAGATATTTGTGAGAATAAAAATAATTTCATGATCGATTTTTGTTTAAACACTGAATTCTTAACCTACCTTTAAAGAAACAATGTGGCTGGTTCCAATTGTTCTCATAAAAAGTCTCCATGAACTTCCATACTGTGTTGAGATAGATTCTTTCATCTTTAGCCTGTTTCACATCCTTGCTGTGATCACTTTCCTTCATCCCCTTTCCTTCCCCATCTAATTCAGGACTATAAAACTGTCTTCTAAAGTAATGTATTTCATGATGTGAACTTTTACAGTATTCTATAAATACATAATATATGTAACAAACTTATTATTACATCGCCTTCTATAGAGAAACGTGCTGTTAATACTATTGCATATATTCTCATATTCATTGTAAGATTTTTCTTCCATTTTCAAAGAAAAAATGGGATTATAAGATGCATCTTATTTTCATGTTATTAATTTAACCTAACAACAACATTAAGGACAATTTAAACTTCCATGTATACCAGAAATATCTCTAGTATTTTATCAACAGCATTATATTCCTTTCATGGGAGAGGGACTAAGTAGACAAGTGCATATGTAGAGCTTACTAATGATGTTTGCTACCTCAAAATTCAGTCCTGTGCTCAATGTGGAAATATAGCTTGGAACATTTGAAAAGAATTACCAGTGAAAGTTGGCTCCAATCCAAAGGTCTTATAACTGTATCTTAGGTTTGTGTTGACATTTCTCAGTTTTATCTGTCAGACACTGTCTATTTTCTGGTTTCTAGTACACTGTCAAAATTATGGTATGATAATTGTCTTCTTCCTTACTATAGCAACAACATGGAGTTTTCCAATCTAAACATTTTTAATTTCAGTTCTTAAAAGATGCTAAGAAAGTAGGCATCAGCCATTTTGAGGCAAAAGATCCAATGGATTTTTAAAATTGTTAACAAAAAAAAAATAACCTCCGTCATGTTCAATCTAGATAATTATAGTAGCTTTCTGGTAGACTCCACTCTGTCTTTTACTTATTCCTTTTGTCATTAGCATTTTATTCACATAACCTTAAAAAAATCTCATCTGTAAATGATAATCAGGCTTTGTAGCATATACCTTTACCTGACCCATCTTATTGGTTCCCAGGGAATGAATATGCTTTCATTTAAAACCAACTTTACCCTCCAGTGGTATGTTTTACATTTAAGGTACCAATGATTATATTTAGTGTTTTTCATTGTAAATAAAATTATAATTTTAATTTATGAGTAAAAAATAATTCTGAGGAAATAACCATATTTCCTATAATATCTCATTTATTCTCATGACTAGGAAAAGTTTCCAAAGACCTACTCTTATGGCACTGAGGTTTGAACTGAAATACAGATTACCCCCCCCTGAATGTGTGTGAAAGAGGACTAGGTAGGGTAGGCACAGCATGTGGATGTCAGAGCAGATGATGAGGTGATGGTCCACCTCTGAAGATGTCATTGTTTTTATGGTGTTTCTAGTGATGCTGGTGTTATGAGTACTAAGTATAATACTAATTGTTAGAGTTAGTGGTCCAGAAATACTGAAGCTAAAGTCCTGCTTTGTGGTCTAAGTCTGACTTTTCATTCTTCAAGAAGATATCAGCTGTGGACCAATCTGAGCAGTCCAATGGTATCTGAAATATTATCTAGAGAGTTTAACGATGAGACTAGCTGGCATGTATGACAGTGATCAAAACTCAAACCATACGTTTAATATCAAAAAATTATCTTTTTGTTTAGAGGTCATGATGAATGTCACAGCATTTTTGTAAAAAGCCACTTACATTTTCTCATGTATCATTTGTCCCAATAACTTCCTAGTATACTTCCTAGACATTTATTTTGTTTTCCTCTAAAAGTAATAGATTACCAGCATTTCACAGTACTATGTTCCTAGCACTGAGATATCACATCGTATCCTTATAGTCACTTCTTTACTGGGTGCATTATCCCAATATGTGGCTCAAATCCAACATGCTAAACTGAATTGATCACCTTCCACTTGCATCTTCTATGCTGATGTATCTACAGTTATTTGTTGCCACAAATTTTGTGTCCAAGACAGAGTGTCAGAGTTCATCTTTTTTATTTTTTTTATCTTTTTATTTTTTTTAGTTTTTTCACCTCCACATAAAGTGGCAAATATGAGTTTTTTACTTTATCTCCCTCTCATTTTTTCTATTAACTTTACATCTTTCCTGGAGTTCCTTCAATATCATCTGATTCATTTAGCATAACTGAAACCATGGTATCATAGGCCACAAAACCAAAATAATTACAGGTACTCTTCTTCAACTCAATTCCATGTATGCAAGCTTAAACCTTTATTTACTTGTCTGATAGCATTTATATTGCTTGTTTTTATTTCTTTATGTTCTTAATCACTGTTTTAGAATGCCACTTTTACGATGACCACAAATGTGATTAATTCAGCCACATTGGCTTGGAAAGTATTAAGAACTAGCAGATGTGAGAATTTGACGGTACACTGGGGAAAAGGTCATGCCAGGCCTCCACCCATCATTTACTCAAAAATTTAATTTTTAGAAATTCACTTGTACCTATACTTTGACAAGTACAAGGATATATGCATCTAAATACTTAATACAACAATAATGTCTATCAAAAATACAACATTCCAACCATGTAGTGGGATGACATACAGTAAAAACAAATTAGTTATATCTATATGAATTTTTTAACAGAATTGTATACATATCTAGAGTATGGGTAAATCACATAGTCACAGGTATCCTTAGGGATGCATTGAATCTCTCTAAGTGGTTACATATACACAAAAAATTATTGTAGTTACGATGGCCAGAGAACAGGAATCCAGGAGTGGGAGACATTTCACTATATACTTGTAAAAAACATTATGTTTGTGTGTCTATGTGAATGTAGACCATATGTGTTCAAAGGTCCACAGGAAACTGGAAAGAGTGTCAAATCCCCTGGAGCTGGAGTTAAAGGCAGTTATGAACTTTCACACAGGGGTCTGGAAACTGAACTCAGGAAGAGAGAAAGAGATCTTAACTGCTGAGCCCTTATCTCCAGGTCCAGTAATATTTATCTTTTAATCTATAAAAGTTTCTTTTACAAAAGCAAATGTGCAAAATGATGTGTGCATAGCTGAAGCCAAAGCTCCTCTCCCAGAAAAAATGTTGATTTTGATAATACATTCCTATAAGTACAATTAATACCACAATGCATATTTAATCATTTTAAAACTTAGTTTAATTACTATGATGTTAAACACATTTGTATTTTATTCTTCTACGATACATGACATACTCAATAGTTATCTACAGAAAATGATTATCTATGTATTCAATACAAAATTCAACTACACCCACTCTGACCATAACTACTGGCCTTTCATTGCAAATGGCTACCTGGACTGTTTCTTGAAAGTTAAGGAAATGTTAATCTCCCAAATACCTTCCTAATTATCCTGAAAATTTAGGTCAGATTTGATTAGCTATGTAAATCTTTAACATAATGGTACTGAGGAAAGTAGGTCATAATGCAGTACTTTTAAAATAGAAGGTTTTAGTACTAAGCATGGTAGTGATCAGGTTTTTCTGAAGTAAAAAAATTGATTAATAGCTTGAACAATATTATATAATTCTGTAAGATTTATATACATGTTAAAGATTTTATATATCCATAATGTACAATCAACCAATACTGAGTTTTCTTACATTCAAATGGAAGACACTCCAAATGGTCAAAATCTAAATCTTGAAATACATTTTATAATTTTATTGGAGTTTTAAATGATGGATCAGCCCAACAGACATTTTATAAACATTTTTTCTCAAAATGCCATATACACGCAATGTTTAAACAACTTGAACATATTATTGAAATGCTGGTAAAACCAAACTGCTGAATTGCAGTGAACACAATGACTGCATTAGCCTAAGGAAAGAAAATACATAAATCACTCAGGAAGGATAAGATTAAGACTTACTCGACATTTTTGTATGATACAGCAAAATGTAGTGCTCTGAGAAAAAGTGCCAAAGTCACACCAAGTTTTGATTGCCAAAAGGATCTCTCTCTTTCTCTCTCTCTCTCTCTCTCTCTCTCTCTCTCTCTCTCTCTCTCTCTCTCTCTCTCTCTCTCTCTCTCTCTCTCTCTCCCTCTCTTCCTCTCTCTCCTCCTCCTCCTCCTCCTCCTACTCCTCATCTTCCTCCTCCTCTCCTCCTCTCTCCTTTCTGTTTTCACTTTCTCTGTGGCTGAGCACAAAAAAGTTGGGCCAATCCACCTTGAAGATAAATCACACATAATATTAGAAGTGTGCATGCGCACCTCACACACAAGCACGTAAGTGAAGAACCTTAGCCTGAACTGAAAGATAGATAGCCTTACAAGGGCATAGAGGCCTTAGCTCCAGAGGCCTGCATAGTTGCCATGGAGGCCTGAAGGGAGTGGACCTCCACCCACGAAGAGCTTCATCTCAGGCCAGTTGTAGCAGTGAGTGTAGAGTGCGTTGGGGAATTCCTCAGTGCCACCAAAGTAATTCACCCAGAGTTCATCTTGGTTGAGCCAGCCTCTGCCACAGGTTAGTTTGAGCTTCCTCCCTGTGCGCACAAGAAAAGAGTCTGGACTGGCTGAGGCCCTCTCCTCCAGGAACTTCTGGGCACGGATGTCATAGAAGAGCAGAGAACCATGTCCAGTGCCCACGGTAATGATGTGCTGGTAGAAGCTCAGGGAACGCACTCCTGTGCCTCCCTCTCGGGAACACAAAGGCCTAATGTTCTGCTGGCGTTGTCGTGGATCCAGGAATGAAACATGAGACTGGGAACCCACAGCATAGAGGGACAACTCATCACAGTAGGTGAGACACACGTTCTCCCCGGCAGTAGGGCAGCCTTAGGGACAGCAGCCTGGACAGGGAGCTCCGGGCTTTCCACAGGTGGAAGTAGCCATCCAGAGACACGGCTCCCAGCTCCTGGTTTTTGCCGCTGAATGCAAGGGCTCGTACTTTGCGGTTACCCGGGTTAGTGGTGGCCCTGGGAATGGCCTCCATGTCCCTTGGACGAATGTGTGAATACCGTGGAATCCCTGAATTATTGTGCCAGGGAATGTTGCCACTGAACATGTCGGGATCCACCCGCCAGAGTGCCACGGTGCCGTCGCGGGATCCACTCACAGCCACCGTGTCACTCATCCATGCAATGGCGAAGATCCAGTCCCTGTGGCCATTGCGGTCCCCTAAGCACACAGGGTCCAGAGTGGGCAGCTGGTATACTGCGAGACTGTTGGGGTTTTCACCCCCTGTGGCCAGGAGGGTCTTGGAGGGATTCAGCTGGATAGCGTGGATGCCACAGGTGGGTTGGGCACGGGTTTGCCCAGGCCCTCTGTCCCGCAACAGGGGAATGCGGGTAATCCGGCCGGTCTGGACATCGACCACGAAGAGCGTGTTGCACTTGGTGCCACACACCACCTGCCTGGCATTGAGCCACTGCGACGCGAACACCTTGTTGAGGGGGCCGAGGGTCAGCTGGCGCTCCCTCAGCAGCTCGGGCAGCCTGACGACCCCGTAGCCGCGCAGGTCGCCCTCGAAGCCCCCCAGCCCCGGGTGGCCCTCGGCGCCCAGCGCGCGGCCCTTCAGGTAGTGCACCAGCGAGCGGCGAGCCACGGGCCGCCGCGGCCTCTTGGCCAGCAGCAATGGCCCCTCGCCGTGGCCGGTCCCCGCCGCCGCCGCCGCCGCCGCCGCGGCCGCCGGGCCAGGCGACGAAGAACTCCCGGCGCCCCCCTCGACCTCGGCGGCTTTCCGCTTCCTGCTACCTGTTTGCTGGGGGGCCATGGTGGGCGGCGGGCGGGCTGCAGAGGCGGCGGCGGCGCGGCGGCGGCGGCGGCGGCGCGTGGCACCCGTGTTGGCCGTGGTGGCGGTGGAGATGGCTGTGTCTCCGAATCGGCGGGGGGGTGGGGGGGGGTGGGGGTGGCACGGGATCCCAGGGGCCAGAAGGCTGGGGGATCCCCGGGACTCCGAGTGTCCTGGGTCCGGGGTGCTTTGGTGGCCAAAGAGGCGAAGGTGGCAGCGTGGCTCTGCAAGGACTGTGAGCTTGGAAGAAGGAGCGGGGCGCCGGCGGCGGAGAGAGGCGTTGAGGGTGGTGGCTGTGCTGGGGACCTGGGAGAGAGGGCGGGAAGTGCTGCCGTCCGGGAGATGGTGAAGTCAGTGTGGGGCTAAAGAGTGTGCTGGAGACCTGAGGGTGAGAGGCGGAGGCAGTGGGAGGGGCGGTTGGCCGTGGGGTGCTGGGTAGCACAAGCCAGTCTGGGTGGGGGTTGGGGAGTAGCAGAGGGGATGGGCGCGCGGGAGGGCTGTGTGGAAACTCTGGGGAGATTCCTAGAGGGCTGAGCTCCAGGACGCTCAGTAGCTAAAACAAGTTTTTTTTTTTTTTTTTTTTTTTTCCACCAACCTCCCAACAGCTTCCAACCAGCCTTAAAACCAAAACCTAAAATATAGCCAAGCAGGGAATCAAAAGGAGCACTGATCATGACATGTGGGAAGAAATAAATGCGCACTTGGTGTAATCAGGGGACACTTTTGACAGAGGTTGTTCTTTGAACTGGACCAGGGATGGAAGCATTTCAAAGTGGCCTCTTTAGTTTCTTTCTGCTGTCTCATTGTTAGGCCCTTTGCTGGTTGAGTTTTCAACTATTATAACCTTATTTTGCTCTTGTTCCTTTTTATCTTCTAAACTTGAGGCTCTGGAGCTACTAAACTTGAATCCCACAAGGATATCTTGCTAATTCCCACACCTTGACCCCGGTTCCAGCCAGGGGTGTGGTAGGGAAATAGTCCAAACGGACCTTGGGAGTTAAGGAGGGTTACTGTGACATACAGGCTAGAGGTGAAGGAAATGATGCTTCATTACCTACTCACTTCCCAGGAACCTCAAAAGCTGATGGGGTCCAGAGTAAGGGCAAGGAAGAGGTCCTAGAGAGAAAGACATCCCCTGTTCTCCAGTTAGGGGAAATCCAATCCACATAGTCAGGACCAGGATTCCTGCAAAGCTCCATCTTGTATGAGAGGCTGTTTCAAGCTCAGGAAGGGACTTGAGGAACACACCAGATATCCCTAGTCGCAGATAGCAAAGAAGAACCTTTCAATGGAACAACACATACACAATATAAGAATGCAGGTATTCAGAGTAAGGGCTTGGTAGTCTCAGGAATAATGAGGCTTGTACCTCTTGTGCAGCTTCAGTGTCTCCAGTTCATTTATAGTTACACACTAGGCATGACCAGTTTCAATGCATGTGTTTGAGTGGGAGATCAGTTGCTCTTACCAAAGCACATGAACCTGACCCTCTTTCACAAAATCAGATGTGTTAAGATGGATGCATGTGCTCGCTCTCTCAATCTCTCTCTCTCTCTCACTCTCTCTCTCTCTCTCTCTCTCTCTCTCTCTCTCTCTCTCTCTCTCTCTCTCTCTCTCTCTCTCTCTCTCTCTCTCTCTCTCTCGTAATATAATGTATCTGACCAGTCATATGAAATAATGGAGCTGTTCTGATGTTGTTCTTTCTTGTACACAGCTTTACATTTTTTTGTAAAGTTACCTCAAGTCTACAAATTCCATGGGCCAGTTTTACCACTCCAAATGAACTGCTGTGTCCCAGTGCATTCACCTCATTCATTTTCTCTGTGTACAATGCATTATTAAGGAAGAGAAAAGATGGTGCATTGGGAGTAAGGAGAGGTAATGTTACTGAAGAATAAGTGACCAGAAATTCCTTTATCTACTAAGATTTTTTTCTGTTTCTAAAATATAAATTAGAAAACATGCAATACTTTGTAGAATATATTTTACTATTGCATAGAATAAAATAGACTCAAATTTGGGGCCTGTATCAGTCTATTTATATGTATGCCTATTGGATATGTAAAAATGAAATGTATGGTTATTTCTGCTATCATTTCTTGAAAGTCTGGGTATAACGTCTACTAAACCTTTGAAAGGCCCAATGTTCCATTTTCATTCCGCCTTATAATGACTTTTAAAATTAAGTTCTGTCTTTATCACTGTTTTAAAATGAGTAAATTAAAACTTAAAAAAGCTGGTCACTTATGGTCTTACAGTCAATGCTACACTAGATATAAATCTTCACCTGATTATATTACATTTTCCAATGAATTGTACCCTGTATTATTCCACCAATATTTTTTGTTTCTTTTCTTCAAAGTGATACAGTCTATGTTGTGAAAATCTTGTCATGTTTGCTTCTGAAAGTTAAGTGGAATTCCCAAAATCAAGAAATGAAGAAATACTAAATATGAATTATATACAGAAATGTCCATACCATATTTGAAGGCAATATATAATCTTAAATGTATGTATGTTTTGTTTACTGATTTTTCTCTTGTTAATAATTATGAAACAATATGGTCACATGTTTTTGCTAAAGAAAATACAAATACAAAAATTCTGGTATGTCTCTCTATTTTTTGTTAATATAAATAAAATAGTTTGTATTTAGTGTTCAGAATCTATGTTTTACATATTCAAAACACCATTCATGTCTACACTTTTAAGTTTCTGTGAACTTAAAGGTATTAAGCAATTTATGAAGAGATACAAGAGGTTTTTGAGAGATGTATAGATTGGTTTCAGCTTTCAATTTAGAGTATTTATTTGCATTTAATTGCTTATATTTCTAGAACATAATGTTTAGAAATATATAAAGCTGCAAGCTATTGTTGAAGTTGTAGACATAATGGCATACTGGTAAACCATTCAGAGTTCTATATAGTCTTCTGCGTCTCCACTAGTTATGTCTCTTGCCTTTGAAGTATATTGTGTCTATGAAAACAATATCTTCTGTGTCCTTACAAATCTTCTTGTCCATTACTGATTTTTCCTTCTAATTACCCTGCTTCCTTCCTGTATTAGACTTCTCTCCTCCATTGGATGAGATCTCATATTGAATAAATCTAAGACAGTTTCATGCTGTTCTGTAATTAATTAATTCATTTATATAATTTGTCTCAATCACACTATAAACACTTCAAGAGACACTAGGGTAACATTTTTAATAAATTCACATTATCACACAGTTCAAGGTATGCAGTTCATGCCTAATAAAATGTTATGGTCACTTGATAAAAAAGAATAAACAAAATAATTTATCCAAAATGTTGGAGACATTTTGAAATGAAATTACTTGATTTGACAAAAATGAAGTATTTTATTCGAGTTGTAATAATGCTGTGGAATAATCCTTTTGTACACTCTGACTTTATATTACTCTCATTGGTTTGATAAAGGGCTAACTGGCCAGTAGCTAGGCAGGAAGAGTTCAGGTAGGAGAGCCAGACAGAGAAAATGCAGGAAAGAAGAAAGGCAGGGTCACCAGTCAGACACAGAGGCAGCAGGATATGAACATACTGTGCTTTCTGTATGCTGTGAGTGTGTTGCTCCAATTGATTGATAAATAAATGCTGATTGGCCAGTAGCCAGGCAGGAAGTATAGTATAGGTGGGTTAAGGAGAGAGGAGAATTCTGCAAAGTGGAAGGCTGAGTCAAGAGATGCTGCCAGCTGCTGCCATGAGAAGCAAGATGTAAAGAACCAGTAAGCCATAAGCCACGTGACAACCTATAGATTAATAGAAATGGGTTAATTTAAGATATAAGAACTAGATAGCAAGAAGCCTGCCACAGCCATATAGTTTATAAGTAATATAAGCCTCTGTGTGCTTACTTGGGTCCAAGAAGCTGCAGGACTGTTGGGTGAGGGAGATTTGTCCTGACCATGGGCCGGGTAGGACACAGGAAATCTTCAGCTACAGAGCATAGATAAGAATTATGGGTTAATTTAAGTTATAAGAGCAAGTTAGTAAGAAGCCAAAGCTTTCAGCCGAGAATTTATAATTAATGATAAGTCTCTGTGTCAATTATTGGGGAGCCTGTGGTCTCAATGAAAAACCCCACCTACATAATAATGCCACAGAGTGTTTTATGCTGATATATAATAATCTATGGATGTATACTTCTAGTATATTACATTATCACTGAATTATTATCCATATATAATTATTTATAAGTCTGCTTATGCATACAATTTTTGACACATTTATGCATTTAAATTTTTTTAAGCATTTTAAACCTTCTAGTGTGCAAACACAGAACATCCACTGCCTTGCTGATACTTTATTTAGCTTATCAATTTAGAATGAATTTAGAGGATTTGTTATTTTGATTTGACACCATGAATATAATCTTTCTACTTTTTTTTTTTTTTAATTTATTTTAATTTATTTTGCAATACAATTCAGTTCTACATATCGGTCACGGATTCCCTTGTTCTCCCCCCTCCCGTCCCCCTCACCTTCCCCCCAACGCCCCCCCCCCCCATTCCCATCTCCTCCAGGGCAAAGCCTTCCCCACAGACTGAGGTCAACCTGGTAGACTCAGTCCAGGTAGGTCTAGTCCCCTCCTCCCAGGCCGAGCCAAACAATCCTGCATAGGCCCCAGGTTTCAAACAGCCAACTCATGCAATGAGCACAAGATCTGGTCCCACTGCCTGGATGCCTCTGGTGATGGGATGGCCAAACACCCTGATTGTTGTGCTAGAAACCTCATCCAACTACTGAGGGATCTGGATGCAGAGATCCATGACTAGGCCCTGGGTGGATCTCTGGGAGTCCAATTAACGAGAATGAGGAGGGTTTATATGAGCGAGAATTGTTGAGACCAAGGTTGGATAAAGCACAGGGACAAATAGCCAAATGAATGGAAACACATGAACTATGAACCAATGGCTGAGGGGTCCCCACTGGATCAGGCCCTCCGAATGGGTGAGACAGTTGATTGGCTTGATCTGTTTGGGAGGCATCCAGGCAGTGGGACCAGAT